AGTTTGATAAACTGGGAGTGGGCATCTAATGGTGATTTTCTGGAATTTGTCGCTGACATCATTTTAATATTTTAGAGTTCTGCCTCTGGCCTTGCTCGGCCAAGTTATATTCATTTGTTTTTTAAAATGTCTACTATAAATCACTTTGCTTATTCTTCCTTTTCTTAAGTGGAAGATAAACTAAAGGATAGGATTTCTTACCACCCCAACATAAAGCTGAAGCCCAAGGGAGAACAAGACCTAACAGCTAGGATTTCAAATGTTTGGGACCCTCCACTCATCAACAGATTGCATACAATTTAAACACATGTTAGAACCAAACAGTGAAAACAGCAAAGGGCTCATTACAAAACTTTCAGTGGGCTCAGTGCAGCACAGTTGTGACCAAGTAGAGTGAGACCCTTGGTCTCCAACAGGCAGAATGTGAACGGAATCTGGTTCAGATGTTTCCTAAATGTTTGCCAGTGGAGGAAAGAAGTAAAAAACAAAATAAAAAACTGGTAATGCAGAGCTGCTAATTAAAACAATTCAGAGAACATAAATGCTAGAGTAATTTTGGACCCGCCATGTCGGGCTGTTTTCAATGCAAATGTAGTGTTCCGATTTCTCCCTTCATTGGGAAGGTATAATTAGCTCAGCTGCAACAGGGTGGGCGCCTTGAGGCAGCCGTTTCCTGGTGCTGCCAGGTCCCCTGTGACGAAGGAACAGCTGCCAGCCGCCACTCCTGCCATGAATTGCATAGAGCCATGGCTATCCCTGAAGCCTTCTTGTAAGCCGCCATGAGCAGACGGCTTGGACTTCTAGTGGGACTGGTTCTTGCTTAAAGATAAGGAACATTTTGCTCCTTAATTCAGTTGACTTTATGCCCAATCTTCATTCTTCCACATAAAATAGCCCTGGTCAGAAAAACAAAAGAAAAATACAAACCAAAACCAAAACAAAATCTCTCTCCCGTTACTGTGATGGAAAGAATGTTTAACATTGGTAATGACAGCCTGCATCAGCTAAAGCAGCTTCTCACCTTGGAGTTCAATGCAGAGTGTTGAAGAGGATAGGAAGAAAATAACGAAAAAATATTTTTAAAACACAATTAAGGTGCTGGGAAATGAGAAACCTGAACTGTAAGGAGAACACATAACCCCAGCTATGGTGATAGAGAAGTTGAAGAGATACCATGAAGGAAATGGGTTCAAGGTTAAGCTTCTAAATGACCCAGTAGGTGGATGACTGATGTAAAAGCAAGAGCGCTCTGGGACTTAACCACCGTAGGAGACACTGGAGGTCTTCCTGCAAAACAGAGAGACAGCTTCTGCTTGTACATTTGACAGACTCAACAGAATGGGCCCCACTGACACGTCAATAAGCAAACACCTTCCAAAAACCAATTCAATGATGGCAAATATTCACTTTTATGAAACAAAAAGGTGAACTATCATTCTGAAATTCTAGAGAAGGCAAAAGAAAGGGTCATTTCCTTGTTTTCCTAGGCTGCTAGCAAATTGTCAGGTTTTGCATCCGTCATTCACTTTCCTACACAGCAGTCCTGCCCATTCCCATCTGCAATGGAGGCCATTGCAAGGCTGGGTCTTCTTCTTTATCCTGAATGGGAAAACCAGACAAAAACTAACCCTGCAACTGCAACTGAGTAGTGGCCATGGGGGTGGGGTGGGGGTGAAATTAATGTGACATCTGGAGCACATTTCTTAGTGACTCCAAGACCACATAACAAAAAAAGGAACTGGGAATCATTACTCTTCTGATCATTTCAGAAGAAAGCACTTCATAATATTGTCATCTCATTAAAAGATTTTCTTTTTTTGATACAGAGTCTTCCTCTGTCTCCAGGCTGGAATACAGTGTCATGATCTCGGCTCACTGCAACCTCTGTATCCCTAGTTTAAGCGATTCTCCTGCCTCAGCCTCCCAAGTCACTGGGGCTACAGGTGCGTGACACCATGCCTAGCTAATTTTTGTATTTTTAGTAGAGACGGGGTTTCATCTTGTTGGCCAGGATGGTCTCCAGCTCTTGACCTTGTGATCTGCCCACACTGGTCTCCTAAAGTGCTGGCATTACAGGCGCGAGCCACTGCACTTGGCCAGGATTTTCTTTTTAACAAGTAATAAAATATGGTAGAAAGCAAAGACCAGTGTTTTTACAATGTGTAAGTAAATGACCAAGATTCACTTTGCATGTTCATAATGATGGCCACTGTATTATTTTCCTTTTCACACCTTTTTGAGATATAATTCAGGTACCATAATATTTAGCCTTTAAAGTGAATGGTTCAGTGTTTTTTTAGTATGTGATTAATGTTGTACAACTGCCACCGCTATATACTTCTAGCACATTTTCATCACCCCCGAAAGAAACCCAGTACCCATTAGCAGTCAATTCCCATTTTCCTTCCCCCATCTCCTAGTAACTACTAATCTACTTCATGTCTCTATGGATTTGCCTCTTCTGGACATATCATATAAATGGAATCATACAGTATGTGACCTTTTGTGTCTGACTTCTTTCACTTAGCTCACCGTTTTTAAGGCTTAATCAGTGTTGCTGTATAAATCAGTACTCCATTCTTTTGTACGGCTGAATAATAATCCGGTGTACGGATTACCACATTTTGTTTATCCATTCATCAGCTGATGGACAGTGAACTTGTTTCGACTTTTTAGCTATTAATAGTAATACTACCATGCACATTTGTGTTCAAGTTTTTGTGCGAATATATTATTTCAATTCTCTTGAGTATATGCCCTGCAGTAGAATTACTGAGTTACATGGTAACTTTATGGTGAACATTTTGAGGAGCTACCAAATGGTTTTCTAAAGCAGCTGCACCATTTCACATTCCCACCAGGAAAGTATGAGTTTCAATTTCTCTACATCCTGGCTAACACTTGCTATTGTAGTTATCCCAGGGCATGTGAAGTGGTATCACATTGTAAGTTTTCTTCGCATTTCCCTAAAGACTAATGAGGTTATGCATATTTTCATGTGCTTATTGACCACATGGATGTTGTCTTTGGAGAAATATCTATTCAAATCCTTCACCTACTTTTTAATTGAGTGATTTATCTTTTTATTGTTGAGATTTTAGGTATTTTTCTCTAAATTAGTTTTGGAAATTTCTAGAGAAGAAGATGTGAGGTTCTATCTAGTTAAGTCCTAGCATTGGGGATGAAGTGTACGTCTATTAACTTGGGTAACAATTAGGTGGAAAAACGTATTGAGCACTCACTTTTTGTGCCAGGCACATTGAACCCTTTACTAACACTGCAGAGAGAAAGACTTTTCCTGGGCCACATGTTCTTCCCTTGGGTGCTCATCAAGATCAGTAAAGCTTTTCCTCAGAGAATCATCCATGTGGTTTCTCTGCCTCCTGAGTCAGGGAGACACCCCACCCCATCAAGGAAGGAAAAACTTTCACCAAGGAGAACTAGCAGAGGAGACACATCTTTAGTAGGTAAAACCTCCCCCATGTTTCAGTTATCTGGAGCAAACTAGTCATTGCTCTTAAGTTACATTTTGAACACTTGAAGTTAAGAGTGTGTGCCCATCCCCTGCAAATACACCCAAGAGAATCCTTTTCCATGTGGTCTCTATTCCAATCTGCCATACAAAATGTAAACAATGCTTACCAAAGTAACCAAGAAAAAAAAAACAAAACACCACAAAACACTCAAATGAATAATGGAGCATGACAATAGATTCATTTTCTTACACTAATTGTAGCAAGTTCCCGCCACTAAAATACAGAGGCCACAGAGGTGAACAAGGCTACAGGAAGGGGAATAGGAAATAACTGAGAAGGTGCCTCCTTGAAAATAAATAAACGTGAGAAGAGCAAAGCCGTCATCTTCCCCAGTCCCACCAGTCCTCTTATGAAAGGTAGCCAGTCCTGTGCTTTATGCTCTGAAGCTGCACACACCAGCACATTTATTCCCTTCCTTCTCCTTCCTCTGTCCTTGAAAAACAAGTGTAACACGTAAGAACATCAAATCGAGGGTTGGTAGAAAACCAAATTGAAGTGGTAGAACACCACCCCGAATCTTCACTCTAAATGTCACAACTTCGAGGTTTCCAGAAATTCCCTTTTCTCTCATGTCCGAATTCCAAAAATCCCAGGGGGCCAGTTCCAGGTCATCAGTGGATCTGAATTATTGTTTATAACTCTGCCTCTCAGTGATTTAAGCCGTGGAAACACCAGACAAGCTGTGTGAAAGTGTCTAGGAACAGGCAGGACAGAACTTCTTCCATCTCACCAAGCTAAACCACTTTCAACCAAGATGGTGCTTGGAGGGAACTTCCAAAGTCCAGTGTACTATTCTTTACATCAACAAGTTCACATTAGTTCCAATCTCTATTAAAGGCTCCAGGCATAATTTCACAGAATCAAAGCCAAACCTCAACATCCTTCAACTTCACCAGGAATTCCCCCAGGCCCTCAAGTTTCTCGGGAAGGATTCTCACACAGAGGACTTCACTCTTGGAGATCTCACCCACCATGCCGGACTGCCAGGAGCAGGGTGGGTGCTACGGGCTGATCTGTGTTCCCAAAAAATATATATGTTGACAACCTCACCTCCAGCACCTCAGAATGTGACTGTATTTCTAGATGAGACTTTAAATAGGTGATTAAGTTAAAATGAGACCATTAGGATGGGGTACAATCCAATCTGGCAGGTGTCCTTAAAATAAAAGGAAATTTAGGCATAAAGGGAAGGATTGGGAGGTCACACACATAGTAAAAACCATCCTGTGTGAGGACCCAGTGAGAAGGCAGCCACCTGCAAGCCAAGAGTGAGGTCTCAGGAGGAACCAATCCCACTCACACCTTGAACTTGGACTTCCAGCCTCCAGAGTTGTGAGAATCACATGTCTGTTGTTTAAGCCACCCAGTCGTGATATTTTGTTATGACAGCCTCAGCAAACAAATACAGCAGGGGTCCCGCAGGGAAAGATGTCCCTGGGGTCTCTCATCTGCACAGCTACTCACCCTGTAGTAGTCAGTGCTGTACACGTCCCGGGACATCCCGAAGTCCCCAATTTTCACCAGCAAGTTCTCCCCAACCAGGCAGTTCCTGGTGGCCAGGTCGCGGTGCACGAAGTGCTGGGATGCCAGGTAGACCATGCCCGCTGCGATCTGCTGGGCTATGTGCAGCATCTGCGACTGCGTCAGCTCCGTGGGCGGGTTGCCCTCAGCCATCAGCACTGCATCAGGGCCGTGTGCCCTGCAGGAGGACATCGAGAGTGAAGCTGGGGGCTTCAGCATTTTCACTCCAGGGGCCCTTTGCTCTTGACTCTCCCCATCTCTCCCACTAAGCTCCTCACCCCCACCCCGTCAGCTGCTGGTGCTAAAAGATGCTGCCTGACTTAGCATGAAGAGGAGACAAAGGTGCTTCACACGGTTTTACTTCTGAAGTCCTGAGAGCACCCAGGCTGCTTCGTTTCCCAAAAGCGTCTGGAATTCCCAGGGCCCTGTGGGCCTGAGTGTACCCCCTTCCCTCCAGTGCACAGACAGGTTGACATTTCAGAGGCTCTGGAACTGTGCTGGGTTCAGGCACTGGCCAGGCCCCCTGACCCTGAGAAACAGCAGGTAGGTGAAGGAAGACAAAACCAAAAACAAAACATTGGGGGAGAGATGGACTCTCCTAGAGAGATGGACAGGGCAGCCCAGCAGGTCCCCACCCTTCCCCACCTAGCCAGGCTATGCCAAGCATCCCCCAACCAAGCGGATCCATCCAGAGTGTCCCCACCAGCACCAGAGCTGGGCAAACTGCGGCCTTCCCCAGTCCGCCTGATCTGCGGCCCAGCATGGTTTTCAAGCTGCCCCTGGCTCTCTCAAGCCCAGTTCAACAGAGTCCCAGGGCATTTTCAACCTGGATGCTCAATCCCAATACAAAATACCATTTCCCTCTGTCCACCCCTCCTTCAGCCTCCGTGTAACACGGGTTCTGGCCAGCACATAGGAGAACTCTTTTGAACCACAGCATATTTATTCTTTTGCTAGGGAAAATTGCATTCTTTACATTATGGGGAGGGGGATTGATTTTTTTAAGCTTATTTTTCTTCTGTCTTACACTCCTGGCCTCTCCCCAGCTATGTGATGACTTACGGCATCCTAACACTGGCATGTGCTGTAGGGGTGGGAGGGTCCGCGTCTTTGGATGGATGCCGCCCTCAGCACGAGAGGCCCTGCGCTGTGAGCCAAGATGGACGTCACTGCCCCTAGTGGCCTGAGGGAGCGCTGCAGTGCAAGGAATAAAGGCGTGGTTTGCTGCCGGGCTCTGCCCTGGCGTGGCCAAAGGGCTTCTCCCTCGGAAAGGAAAGATCTCCCTCAAGACATTTTGAAACACTTGGAATAACTATAAAGGATCTTGCATAAATGTTAAAGTGGGTGACCTCACCTGCAGGGTTCCAAAGCCATGTGAGTATTCAAAACTGAGAAAGCCAGAATTGTCTGAGAACACGTCAGTTAGGGTTCGCCCTACCTCTCCACCCTTCTTCCCCCCAACTGTTTAAGCCACAGGCATATCCCCACTTCATCCTGGCTCCAGCCTTTGCTTTGATTTCGGAAAGTGACTCTCCTTTGCTTTGATTTCGGAAAGCATTCTGTCTCCAGATCTTTCATTCTTGTACTCTCAGGGAACGAGCACTGGACAAGGATTTGGGGGGTCTCCCAGAACCGCCAGTGTCCAATACCAGATCCAGGGAAGCCCTATAATTTCTGTCATCTGCAATGCCTTCATTCGTCAAAAACACAGAGGGATATTATACTGGGTGATCTCTTAGGTTCCTCCTGTCTCTAGGTACCTGGAGACATTCCCCAGGGAGGAGTTTTCTCTCTTTCTACAGGCCAATCCTAACATATTTCACCTCTGCTCAAACCACAACCCCCAGCTGCCTCTTGTCACATTGAGGAACAATACTGGGAAAATGCTTCAGGGCTTTTTCAGCTCAAAAGCACGCAATCAAGGTAGAAGCGGTACAGTGGCCAAAGCTTCAGGATATGTGAAATGAATTTGGATTCTGTCCCAACACACTAGCTGTGTGATCTTGGATGAGTTACATAAACTCTCTGGGCCCATTTCCTCACTCTGTAAGCTGGAGATACTAACTGCACCTTGCTAAGGGTAGGGATGTGAAGATTGACACTGTGCTTGCATAGAGCTTCCCGGCCTTTCAGAGGAAAACCAGGGAGAAAGGCTTCGCAAAGCTTCTCTTTTAAAAAAGGAAACAGAGAGGGGATGTGAAAACACAAGTTACCCTCTGTGCATTACTGTTTGTAAGCAGTCTGTAACAGGGTTCTTCGGGATAACAGAGGGTGGCCCTTTTTACCTCACTAAAGGTGAATGAATCAAGCCTAACCCTTTCCAGCACTGAGGGTCAGGGGAAATTGCCAATGTTTTTACTTGTATTCCTTAACTCTGCTGTGACCTCAATACCAGGAGAAGGGTCTGGGGTGCACATAAACTAAAGGACAACTTGAAAGAAAGACCCAGAGACTCAGTCAGAATTTAACCTTCATAGATTTCATTTAAAGAATAAAATAATTTGTTGAGTGGCCACAGCCTCATATCAGCGCCAGAAAACTGATCTACTTTAAATCTCTCTCATAGGCAAAGACTCCAGGGTAGGAGAAAAGCTAAATGTCAGTGAAAAAGGCCACCACTGTACAAAATTCTGTTCTCTAACCCCATCCTCTGCAGACATGGGCCCTCAAATGCCTGATGCACTTGATATTAATATGTGTGGGTCGGGGAAGACTCCTGTGTTTTTTTTTTTTAACAGTTATTTCTCCTGCTTATTTCTGGGTATTCACTGTTTGACTTTTTGAACAAGGCTCTTTAAATAAAATAAGCCTCTGACTGCTTTCTTTGAGCAGAACATACTGCTGTAAAAAGTGGGTAGGTGGGTCTGATACACAAGTCCTTAGGAGGAGCATAAATACAGTTACCACTGCAATCCCCAGCTTTCACTTCCCAGATTCTCATGAAGTCTTAATAATAAAAATACATTTCATCTCTTCCAGGAGGACATTCCTTAAGTGGTAAAAAAAAAGTGTCATCAGCTCCCTGGCTTGGGAAGCAAGTAACAGGTTCATGGGCCTGACTTAGCTGTCTGGTTCGGTAACAGCTGGCACTGCACCCACTGTTCTGGCTCCAGGATTCCACAGCACACCACTGTCCTCCTGGTCTTTTTAACAAGCACCTCAGCACAAAGGATGGCAGAGTCGTTAAGACCATGACTTTTGCAGCCAGAGGCTGCAGGTTTGAGTCTTAGCTCTGTCACCTGCTACTTGTGTGATTCAGTTTCCTCAACTGAAATGTACGAATGATGGCAAGGATGGTTTATACCTTAAAACATTTTTAAATGCTTAGAAAGTTCAATAAATGTTAGCTGTTATTGTTTGAAAAATAGCCATCTGTCTTAAGGGAACTCTGGACAGATTCTAAGAGGAAAAATCATGAAACCCTTGCAAGCTAAGACATGTGTTTTATTTCTTATTTCCCACCCTAACTAGCATAGAGCCTGGTCATACTGGTGCTTGATATATGGCTTTTGGAGGAATAAAGAGGGTAGGAAGACAAAAGAAGACATCTGTTTTTGTAGGGCAGAGCTGATAACAGCTAGGGACTTTTCATGGCAGCTAAGTGCCCAGTTCCCTTGCCGAAAGAGGACAGGCTATATTTGCAGCATGTCAGTGCACCTGAGAACTAGACTCTTGGCCTGGGAAATCTCTTGTTCCCAGAATTTAGTAGGTTCTGAAACCAAGCAGGGTAGGTTTCCAATTGCTCTATGCCCTGTGCAAGGTGCCAAGGGAGAACCAGGTGCCTGTTCCTTCCACAAGGCAGGAAGGAGAGCTAGGGAGGAGAGGTAGATCGAGCGGAAAGTGAAAGAATCAAATTGCAACACACGCACGTACACATGCATGTACACACACTCTCTCTCTCATGCATGTACAGACACACTCTGAGCCCACAGAAGCACTTAATTGCATCCAGGTGAGCACATTTGGATTTATTATGCTACAGTGTTTGGCAAGCACCATCTTGAATTAGGGAAGTAGACTGAGGCATGGGAACAATGGGAAAATATTTCTCCTAGGAATAGCCAGACCTCAAGCACATTCAGCATTTTTCTCCCTTTCATGTCAGAGCTGACAAGACAATGTTCAAAGCCATCTCCTGTCCTATCACTTACAAGAAATTTTTGCTGATATAGGGCAATGCATTAGAATTGTCTCGGAATACTGCAAATTGGCTGTATATTCCCAATCCTGCCTGGCAGTCCCTCACCCACACAATCATAGGAAAAGCAGAGAATGGGGATCCAGCCCAGCAAAGAAGAACTACATTGCACATGGATCTACGAGGCTAAAGAGGGTAAAAATGATCCAGACGGCACCAACCACGTGATGCCATTTCTAAAAACAGCAGTATGTTCTTGCAGTGATTGACTGATTACTTAAACTGCACAGAGTCTGAATCTTCCAGGAGATACATGAAGCTTACTAGGGCTGATTTCTGTGCAATGCCCTCTTCAGCGCCCACGGAAATGGAGGCAGACAGAAGGTCCTTCGTGTTGCCATCAGAAAAAAGGTGCCACCTCCCCAGGAGTGCAGATCAGCCAAAATGAAGAGGAAATTGTGGCAGCGATGAAGCATTGCGAAAGGTTGTGGGGACATTTCTGGATTACCTCTCAGTCCAACAACACACACACACGAGACCTTGAGGTGGATTAAATGCTACCTCTTTGACAGGTAAGGAAACTGCGCTCAGCAAGGGCAGGTGAACAGCCTTTAACACCTTTCCTATTACTAGCTACCAAGATATCATAAGCAGCACATTTGCTAATCTTTCCAAAATGAGGACTAGCTAAATTAAAAAATAATAATAACATATTAGACCCAGATAAAACTTAGAGGATTCAAGGCAGGCCTACCTGAGAACAAAGGTGACTGAGTGAACTGGGCTGGAGGCTCATTTAAGGGATACCAGAAGCTGATCCAGAATAGGAAGGAGAACCCGAATCTCCTGGCCTCACTACCCGGCCCTCTTACTCTTTAGGTTCACGATAATGTATGTGCCACTTCCATAGAAGCCAAAGCATCACTTGCCTTTCTTCCCCAAGGAGTATCTGGCTCAGCACATTTCTTCTCTCCCTTGGCAGATGCAGGAGAAGAACACTCACTATGGGCCCTACCACGGTGATCACCAACTTCCTGTGTCTTATCAAACTCAGTTCTTCTTGCAATTTCTCTTACCGAGGCAGCTGGTTTACCAGTTGACATCATTCCTGGCAGAATTCAAGCGTCTGCTTATTCAACACTCCCTATTCGCTCCTACGCCAAGAGCTTTATATACTTATTCTAGTTCAGTCCTCATGCCTACCCTGCTGGCTCAAGATTCTCATCAGAACAACTAAAAGACTTGCCTGAGGTCACTCAGCCAATAATGCCTGGACTGAGACTCAACTTCAGCTGTGTCTGGAGGCCAAAGTCCCCACTGGTATCATCATGCTCATGGTCTCCTCAAAAGTCACCCCTTGTACTGTGTGAGTTAGCTTCACCGTTTCAAAGCAGCTTGACCTTTCTTCCTGGATTGCAGTCACTTTCAGCCATTTCTCACCTGCTCTCTCTGGTGGTTCCTCCCAGTTCCCTGTAACCACCACCTGAGGGAGGGGAGTTCTTGAGAACCCACAGCTGAAATAAAACCCAATCAGGCCCAGGCACAGTGGTTCACACCTGTAATCCCAGCACTGTGGGAGGCCAAGGTGGGCAGATCACCTGAGGTCAGGAGTTCAAGACCAGCCTGGCCAACAAGGCAAAACCCTGTCTCTACAAAAATACAGAAATTACCAGGCATGGTGGCAGGTGCCTGTCATTCCAGCTACTTGGGAGGCTGAGGTAGGAGAATTGCTTGAACCTGGGAGGCAGAGATTGCAGTGAGCCAAGATCACACAACTGCACTCCAGTCGCGGTGACCGAGTGAGGCTCCATCTCAAATAAATAAATACCCAATCAGGCCAATGCTAGAAATTCAAATGACACTAACCCTAATCAATAGCCCACTGACTCCCTTCATAGTCAACGTTTTCTCTTTCTTGCCTTGCCTTTTTCTGAAGCCCCTGCTTCCCAGGAAACTTCTCAGTTGAAGGTGTCCATCTTTTCATGACCTCAGGGTCTCACCATCATCCGGAGTCTTCAATCAATGTTCTAACCTCCTTCTGAAGCTTGTCTTCTTTGGATTTTTATCTTTCCACCATAGAGCCTCTGAACTACTGACCTCCTGGTAATTCTTTTTGTCCTTAGAATAAAGTCCAAGCACCTACCCCACCCTTCCAGCTTTGACTTCTCCAGCTGTTTTTCTGCTTCCTTTCCTCACTGTTCATTCCAGAGTCTGGGAACCTGAAAACTTCACTCTCACTGGACTGCACTTTTCATTGTGACACCTGGGTACCTTAGCTCTTCCTCTTTCCTTTGCCTTTAATAACACCACATGGCAAACTTCTACAGATCATCTAAGGCCCATCTCGAATGCCCATGTCATATACTACTTAATGTAGCAAATATTCAGTGAATGCAGCCTGAATTGAGTTGGATCATTTGCATCACATTACGTAGAATTCATTGATTAAGGAAAAAGGGCAAGACTGTCACCTTCTTTTTTTTTCTCTCCTCTTTTCTCTGGCACAAATTGGTGTCATCATTAAAGAAGACTCTTCGAGAAAGGCCCAGGGGTTCCTTGTTCCTTCCCAGGAGCCTGCCCTACTCCTGAATCGTGAAATCCTGCTCCCTCCTGGAGCCCACCTCCCCGCCTCACTGTACCTGAGGAATTTGTTGAGGTCCCCGTGCTTCATGTACTCGAAGACCATAATGAGGGGGTCGCCTTCCACACAGACTCCATAGAACTTGACAATGTGCTCATGCTGGAGGTTGGTCAGCAGCTCAGCCTCACGGTGGAAGTCCTTGCGTGCATTGTCACTGGCATCCTTCAGGGTCTGGGGATGGGCATCAAAAGAGAGGGATTACTTCAGTGGGGCCTATGATGATGAGATAGGAAGGAGATCTGTCTCACCTGTTAGCAAAAGATTAGAAAATAGACTAGTTCCCAAGGAAATAATGTTTGTGCTAATAACTAAGGAATAACTCCTATGTATGCGCAAAGCTTTCCAGCTTATGATGCACTTTCACAGAGGTTCTCTCATTAGGTTACAGATAGGAGGTCTTTTTAGGGTCCATATCCTTTCTAACCCTGGCCTGCACCCAATAATTTCCATGGGCTTCTCTCCCTTGTTGGTGCCTGTTGTGCTTTCTGTGATACTATGTGCAGCTCACCTCTGCTCAGATGAGCTTTAAAAACTTTATGTTGTGATTCAGTAGAAAGAAGAGTACAGTGAACCTTTGTGGACCCATTTCCAGCTTCAGCAATGATCACTTTGCCTGTCTTTATGTAGCACTGTAAAGATCCTTCTCCAGCCTGTGCCCACAAACACTGCTGGCTCACAAAACATCCCTGCCCTGCAAGCCGCAAGAAGAGTGTTCACACTGCCAGGGCGAAGATGCCCAGGAGCATGCCAGCCTGGTTTTGGTGCCTTTAGTTCTCTGCTCAGATCACTCTGCCACTGCACTGTCATAACAGGACAAAGCTGGCATTTAGTGATGCATATAATGTGCTTGGCTCTTGGCATGTGCCCATCACCGAGCCAGAGCTATGATGGCATCAAGAAGGCAGTAACCCAGATCCTGGCCTCAGGTGCTTATAGGCAAATAGGGAGATATGACGTATATAAATAACTGCAATTCAAGCTCAAAACCCACTGCCTGAATGAATCACCTGCATCTCCTTCCAGCTCAAGCCCTTGACACTCCTCTCAAAACTCAAGTGTCCACTTTAGGAACTATCTGCAGCTGCCCTGATGACAACAGGCTGTGCCTCCCTCCCTTTGCACATGTGCATTCCTCAGCCTGGAATGCTGTCTTGGGTGTGGTCACTGGCATGGGAGGTTGAACTCCTCGCCTTTGCCAAGGCTGTTCACTTCCTAATCCTGGGAACCTATGAATATGTTGCCTTATGTGGCAAAAGCAGCTTTGCAGATGGAACTAAGTTAAGGATCTCTAGGTGGAGAGATTATCCTGGATTATCCAGGAGTGCCCAATGTCATTACAAGGGTCCTTATGAGAGCAAAGAGAGGCTGGGTGCAGAGGCTTATGCCTTTAATCTCAGCACTTTGGGAGGCCGAGGCAGGTGGATCACCTCAGGTCAGGAGTTCGAGACCAGCCTGGCCAACATAGTGAAACCCCGTCTCCACTACAAATACAAAAATTAGCCAGGTGTGTTGGTGGGTGCCCATAATCCCAGCTACTCGGGAGGCTAAGGGAGAAGACTTGCTCGAACCCAGGAAGTGGAGGTTGCAGTGAGCCAAGATCATGCCATTACACTCCAGCCTGGGTGATAGAATGAGACTCTGTCTCAAAAAAATTTAAAAAAAGAGCAAAGAGAGAGCCGTAAGGGCAGAGGCAGAGATCAGAGAGAAGATGTCACATTACTGGCTTTGAGATGAAGAAAGGGGCCATGAGCCAAGAAATGTGCGTGGCCTTTAGGAGCTGGAAATGGCAAGGAAACATGCTATCCTAGAACCCCCAGAAGGAGCCAGCCCTGCTAACATCTGGTCTTTAGCTTAGCAAAACTGATTTCAGGTGTCTGACCACCAGAACTGAGATAAATCATTTGTGTTGTTTAAGCTGCTGACTTTGCAGCAATCTGTTATAGCAGCCATAGAAAACCAATATACCTGGTAATATCTAGCAGTCCTCCAAGACTCAGTTCAGCTGCCACCGCTCTGGGAAGTGTTTTCTGACTACATCTCACTGCTGTCACATCCCCTCTGCTCTGCAGGCCAGAGTGGATGACCCTGCCTTGTGCACTTCATGCTTAACCTCTAACACATCACAGACCGTAGTACATTCCAACTGCGTGTTTACTTGCTTATCTCTGGTACAGGCTGTGAGCTCCTTGGCCCAGGAACTACACATTTCTGCATTTCCAGCCCTGGGCAGAGCACAGGGCGAGCATTCAACATCTATTTGTGTAATGAATGATGAAGACCATAAGAACTAAACACAGATAGCAAGAGAGGTCAGAGAGGGAGTGGTTGCTGCTAATTGAGGAAGAGGCATACTTCTCCTGGTAGAAGTGACATGTGAGTAGTGAATTGCATCTCCAGGGAGACTACAGTTAGTCATTAAGGTTAGATGGCAAATGGAAACATCTGTGTTCACTTAAATTTAGTATTGGAATGGAATGAAAGCACTGTCATCCGTCAGATATGTACTGACTACAAAACTAAAAGATGATATCTAGTGTCCAGAACATGGCCGGGTCCCTGGTGGTCATTTTCTAGATCCTGGCCTCAGTGCTGCTCTCCCTGTGGGGACACTCCTGACCTACGCCACCTGGAGACCTTGAGTGTGCCACAGGTGGAGTTCCCAGGGAGCAGATCTGAGATGGAGATTAGCAGGTGAGGCATTTATTAGGGCACGCTCCCGGGATCAATACTATTTTCACTTTACTCTGTGGTTTTCTGAGAAGTGTCTTTATAAGCACCACCAGCTCTGTTTGGAAAAGTGAGTGAATTTGGGTCAGCAAGTCCTCAGGAGCCATAAAGCTTCGATGGGGCCGTTGCCATGGAAACCACACATTCCTTCATTAAATAACAAAATGGACAGTGGTCAGGAACCTGGAGTCTGGGTCTCTGCTCCCTTGAAGCTACAGAAACTGGGCCTACCATGGCCCCTGCCACCCAGATTTAATTAGTTTAGTGTTTAGTTAGATCCAAACACAACCCCTTTGCATCCCTCTTGCACAGGGAGGAGGGATGCGCTTATCTTACAGAACTTCACAGTAGAAAAATAGCACATGAGGTGTGGAGATGAACTTGGAGGAGATGGAAAAGATAAAAGCCTGTATTTGCTGGGTCCTTCTCCAGAGTTCATGGAGCAAAACACACATAGCAGTGCATTACTCACAGTTACACTTGCATAATGGTTTGGGTACACGTTTGTCTCCACCCCTGCCTGTGACAGTGGAAGCGTGTCTTGTTCACCCTTTTAGCACTTGCTGTCTAATCCAGTATCAGGCAACTAAAAGAATGCCTGACACACAAAGTTTGTGCAAAGTAGAGATAAAAGAATGTGGGAAAAATGAGAAGTGAATGATCATCTGGAAAAGTTGAACATGGGCCCAATTGAGAAGTGAAAATGAAAGAAGAACCAGGAAAAGAAAGCAGGTGAAAGGATGAGAAGAGCTGCCCAAATGCACTCTCTCCTGGAGAGTTGGCCTTAAACTTGTGTTCCCCTTCCAGTCAAAGGACAAATCTTCACAATAGTGGTGCTCAAACGGAACGAGTTCTAGCTTAGCATCAAAAGAGACAGGTTCAAATTCTGCCTCTGCCTTCGATCTCTCTGACTCTGGTTTTCTTCTTTGAGAATGAGGATAATAATATCATTATCTACTCCACAGGGGCACGAGGAGAATAATGCAATGTAGCATAAGTTGGAATGTTCTCCTGGGTAGAGAGAGACATTTGATGATTTGAATCTGAAACCACAACCAGTCCTGTGTTCAGTTTGCTCACACAATAATCCAAGAAGGTTAAAATATGCATGAATAAGGCTCAGTGCCACCCAACACATGAGAGCAGCAGTGCTGCTGTAGCTACTTTTTTCCAGCGAGCTGTCCAACCTTCTGAAAGTGTCAAACTGTACACAGAGATCCAGCCCTTGGCCTGCAATGCTTTCTCAGACATCCAGTCTCTATAGAGGATGCTCTGAGTCACTGAGATGATAGATTATTTCTAAGGCCCATGCCCATCTTTTTCAGTGAGTTGGAAAAGGTGCTGACCCTTGAAGGTCATTATCACAAGGCACAAACAAATTCTATGTGTGATCTGTCTGCTCAAGTTTTGGCTATGTAGTATTGATTCAAGAATGCTAGATTGTGTGTGTGTGTGTGTGTGTGTGTGTGTGTGTGTGTGTGTGTGTGTAAGAGACAGAGAGAGAGAAAAAAACAGGATTTTCTTTTTTGAAACGCCAACCTGAAAGAGTTAAGAAGCATCTAACATTTTCATGTCCCCAAAGCAAAATATGGAAAAGAGCCCATTCTCAATGTCAAAAACTGCTTCAGAAACATTTTTGAAATTTAGAGAAGAGATTCCACTATTCATGGGGCAAATGCATCTCACAAACCTGGCCTCATCCAACATGCCCATCCATTTTTGCATGTTGGGTCTTTTTTTAAAATTATGATTCAATGCTATTTTAAGAGATTCAGAAAATATGGCGGTAACAACTTAGGCAAAATCATCTTTCTGAATTTGGCACTCCAAGGGCAGAATTTTTCTAAGGGTGGAACCATAGCCAGATAGCAATCAGAAGCTGGAAAATCCTGCTATCGACCCTATTTATAAAAATCATCTCTGTTTTAGTACCATGGCTGATTGTCATTTTACTCAATTATGCAAGGCTTGGCTGGGTCCTTGAGTCCCTTGGCAATGCACTGAGGCCATGAACGTGGGGTGGTAGCTTCCCTCACTGACAATCCCTCTTCTTCAGGTTCATTTTGACAAGCATATTTGCCCGATCACCGAGCATTGCTGTTTTCTAATTCTTACTGTCTGCTTTGTAGTTTCATTTCTTCTTATTTCCTGTGAATTTCCTGACACCCCAAAGCTGCCATCTTTTCTGAAGATACATTTAAGGGAGAGGGCTCCTCCAAAGCTATAGTGAGATACTGCCTGGAGTACATACTGATTCAGACTTGGAATAATGCAGTAGCATGAGATAAATTTCAACACAGACCTGAGAAACTAGTGGCAGTGAAATAGAAGAGCAAAAACAAAAGAAAATCAAAATCCATATGAAATGCTTCAGAAAATATGAACATTAATGGGAAACTAGTAAGACAGACAAGAGCTCTTATTTGACATCATTGGTGTGATAG